CAAGCGGGGAGATAAGCCTTGCGCTGAATCTTGAAGGATGAGTCGAGTTTAGCCAGAAAAAGAAGGGAGAGAAGAGGGCACTCGAATTTGAGCAAGCAGAACGTGGAAGGGTGCTGTTTGTGAGAAAGCACAGAGGTTTGGATTATTGCTTAAAGGTGGTATGAGGGGTATAGGCGGAGGGTTTGGATTTTTCTCACAGTGGTGATGGGGAGATGCTGAAGTCTCTTCATCAGGAGTAACATGATCGGTTTATATTAGAAAGATCACTCTTAACAGCGTGGAGAGTGGATTGGGAGTTGAGACTAGAGACAGGGAGGTTGAGACTGGAGACGGAAGTCTTTTGCAATTGAAAATTGAGAGTCTGGACTAAAGCAGTGAGGATGGAGAGTGGGCACAAGAGACACTGAGAAAGTAAAATCTAACAGTCTGCTGACAGGGGGAAGAATGAGGAAGAGGAAGGAGATTTGAATGACTCTGGTTGGGGGACTGGCTGAATGATGGTGCTATTTGAAAGAGAAACGGGTTTGTGGAGGAGGGTATGAACTCAGTTTTAGACATGTTTAGTTTTCTCTTTACCAAAGTAATATGTTCAAGAAATGTATGAACTGTGGTAAGCAAAATGGAGCAGTTACCCATAATCCAGCCACTCATCACAGTTTTGTGTGCCCTTCTCTTCCCTCCCTCCCTCTGTATCTTTCTACTTTTCTTTTTTTTTTAATTACCTTTATTATGATATGATACCTGGACAGTAAACTACACATATTTCAGAAATACAATTTGATGAATTTTGACAGATACCCATGAAACCACCACCACAATCAAGATAGCTGACATTTCCATCACTCCCCAAGCAGTGCATATTTTGAATTCCTGATTTATCCCTTCCCACCTCCTTTACCCCCAGGTAACCATAAGTTTGTTCTCTGTGTCTGTGAATCTGTTTCTCTTTGGTAGATAAGTTCATTTGTGTCCTTTTTTTAAAAAAAAATCCACATATAAGTGATATCATATGGTATTTTTCTTTCTCTTTCTGACTTAACTTCACTTAGAATGACAATCTCTAGGTCCACCCATGTTGCTGCAGATGGTATTGTTTTATTCTTTTTTATGGCTGAGTAGTAGTCCATTGTGTGTGTGTGTGTGTGTGTGTGTGTGTGTGTGTGTGTGTGTGTGTGTGTGTGTGTGTGTGTGTGTGTGTGCGCGCGCGCGTGTACACAACGTCTTTATCCAGTCATCTATCAGTGGACATTTGGATTGTTTCCATGTCTTGGCTATTGTAAATAGTGTTGTTATGAACATTGGGGTGCATGTATCTTTTTGAATTATATTTTCCTCTGGATATATGCCCAGGAGTGGGGTTGCTGGATCATATGGTAAGTCTGTTTTTAGTTTTTTGAGGAATCTCCTTACTGTCCTCCACAGTGCTGCACCAGTTCTTTCTACTTTTCTTTAAAATAAAAAGAGGTTGTGCTTTATATACATAACTGATTTCTTATCTGCTCTTCTTACTCATTAATCCATCACGAATGACTTGTGATGTCATTAAAATAGTTAGTGATATCATTAAAGTTCTTTATTGTACTAAAAATGGAAAAAACTAGAGAATACCAATAAACATAGAAAATGTTGAACTACCTATAGTTAACCTTTGTTAACATTTTGTATGTTTTACATATTTATTGTAGGCACACTAGAAAATAATACAGACAAACATAAATAATTATTACCCAAAATTAACTTTTGCTAGCATCAGTGTATATCCTTCCAGAAATTTTCTATATGTGTGTATCTTTTTTTCTTCCAAATATAAGCCAGCTACTATTTATCGAGCTCTTACTATATACCAGCCACTGGGTTGGGTTCTTCAAAAGTGTTAATTCTCAAAACTACTCTATGAGCTAGAGTCTGTTGTTACTCTTGTTCTACAGAAGAGAAGACTGGAATCACGCTGTGTGTATTGTTTTATAATATTTTTTTACTTGATGGTGTCAAGCATTGACTTCCATGAAAGCTGTTTACTTCTACATTTTTAAGCACTTGACTGGCATCCATTGTGTGGTTATACCATCGTTGTTCTTGGCTGAACTGTTAGGTTACTTTCAGCTTTATGCTGTTACAAACCAGTTTTTGCTATTACTGTCGTCTTCGTGCATGTCTCTAATTATTGTCTTAAAGTCGGAACCTGGAAGTAGAAGTCTTGTGTTAGGCTTTTGAAAGATTTTTAATACATAAATTACTTTCTAGAAAAATCATACCAATCTGTCTTACCCCAGGGAGTAGAAAAGAGTACCTGTTTTCCTGAATCCTTGTGCCCACCGCAGGATGGTTATTTCTGTATGTTTTTGAACATCTTCAGTGTGCCAGGCACTGTGCAAGCCAGTGGTCCCTACCTTTATGAAGCTAGCAATCTCTCTTTATAATTTGAACCTCACCAGTTTCATCTATAGATAATGATACTGTTTACACTGCTTTTTTTTTTTTATTTATTATGGTTGAAATTTTTTTTCATATTTGCTGGCTCTTTTGACGTCTCTCACACAATGTTGTTTGCATCTTTTGCTTATTATCCTGTTGATTTCTAAGTCGTTTTTATATGTTAATGCTCTAGAGATTTAGGACAGTGCCTTTGTTTCTATCATATGTTACATTTGTCACAGACAATTTTCCTTCCCATGTGTCATCTGCTTATTATGTTCCTAAGTAATTCTTAGTAAGCAACTATGTTAATCTTTTCCTGTATTTTGGTTGTCTTGCTTAAAAAAGTCTTCCCTTACTTATTTTTTCCATATAGTACTTCTGTGATTTTATTGTTTCTGTGATTTTATTTTTTTACACTTAAATTTTATAATTCAGCTAGAATTTGTTTGAGAGTAAAGTTATGAGGTAGGTATTTAACTTCATTATTTTTTTCTAAGAATTAACCAGTTGTTACACCTTGTATTTAATAATCTGTCTTTTCTGCCCTGGTGAAATACACTTTTACTGTTTCTTGTATAGAGCTAAGCCTGCTTATGGACTTTCTGTTTTGTTCCATTTATCTAGTCGTCTGTCCCTGTGCCCCTGTTGTAGCTGATCATAGGAACAGTTCACGATTTAAGTGAGATAAACACAGAGAACACACTTTACAGTTACCAGAGGGTAAAAGGGGTGGGAAGGGATAAATCAGAAATTCGAAATTTGCACATCTTGGGGAGTGATGGAAATGTTAGCTTGATTGTGGTGGTGGTTTCATAGGTGTATACATCAATCAAAATTTATCAGATTGTACATCTGAAATATGTGTAGTTTACGGTACAGGAATTATACCACAATAAAGGTGTTTAAAAAAAGTTTAACAGACAATGAAAGTAATGTGCTTAGCACAATGCCTGAGATATAGTAGCATATAGTAAAATAAATGTTTGCCTTATGTTGATAATACACTTAGAGCATCAGATGTAGAAGCCTAACACATAGGTACTCAGTAGGTGTCAGTGCAGGCCTCCTATCAGAAGCTTCTGAAGAGGCGAGAGACCTATACCCTTTACAGTAGGTACCACACGAGAAGAAGTTCCAATAAGGATGATAATGGACATTGATGCTGTCGTTTGGCATGTGTATCTTCCTAGGTTAGACAGGCATCTCAGGGAATCCAGTTGACTTATGACATTCATCGTGAGCTTGTGATGAAGGGGACTGTTTAGGGTGAACTTACATTTCTCTCTTCAGGCAAACACTGAGCCGCCCAGGCTGAGTAGAGAGGAGCAGCGGGGTCGAGGTGCTCTCTTACAGGACATCTGCAAGGGGACCAAGCTGAAGAAGGTGACCAGCATTAATGATCGGAGCGCTCCCATCCTCGAGAGTGAGTCTGAGCTTCTCTCCTAGTGACCTGGGGACCCCAGAACTGACTTGGAGACTAGGCGGGGCTGTCACTTTTATTGTTGGATCCTGAGTGGGAGAGTTTTGTCTTGGGATGTTCTTTGGCCGTCTTCCCATCTCTTCATTGGAATACCTTCAGAATTTCTGTTTGACCTTTGAGAAGCCTTCTTAGGGTCTTAAGCCCCCCATCTCCTACTGTCACTAGTGCTTTTAGGGCACATCCTTGGCTGCTCTGAGGAGACCACCACAGTCCTATAAACCACTCAGCTAAAGCCAACGATGATTTTGTAATTGCTACAAGTGTTCATTCTGGAGGGCCTCTGAGGGTTCTTCTCACACCTGGGTCCCTGAGCCATTAGCCTCCTCACCACGTGGGACTTGGAGAGGAGAGCCTGAAGAAGTCTGTTGAACATGTCTTTATCCTGGTTATCTGTCCGCCCTAAATAAAGGAAGGCTGGCTCCTCATTCCTTTTGTTCTCTCTGTCGTCACAGCACAGTTTCATCCCCAACCCCATGAAGCTGTGGAGCAGAGAGGCCCATCTTTCTATTTCAGTGGAAAGATGAAAGCAGTATTGGTTTGTTTGCAAATTTAAGCCCAGATAGAGGAGAGGGGTTTCTCCTCGGTATTGACTTGGTCACCAGCTTCAGAGCACATGAAATGAAAATCCTAATGGTATGCTTTCCAGAACCCAAAGGAAGCAGTGGTGGTTATGGCTCTGGAGCAGCTGCCCTGCAGCCCAAGGGAGGTCTCTTCCAAGGAGGAGTGCCAAAGCTCCGCCCTGTGGGAGCCAAGGATGGTTCAGGTATCTGATAAGTACTTCCTTAGGCTATTTCCCAAGAGCATTCGTTTCTGCTGGGCCATCTGTGGTTGAGGAGTATGGCAAAGGTGGGAGAGGGGAGGAGTGGGAGCAGGGGCAGAGTTACAGGGTGGAATAAAGCAAATCTGAGGGATTAAATAAAAATGCATTCAGCTTGTATTAGCAGTCTTTGTGACTGGGCCCAGAGCTCGGAACTGGGTTCAAACCCAGAACTGTACAGGGACCTCCCCTGCAGCTGTGCAGGTTGCACTGAGGAGGCGGGGTGACATGGAAATGCTGACCAATGTATGTCTAGTTCTGTTGACCGGTGCTGTCTGGTGTATTTGTAGAGAGCCTAGCTGGTAAGCCAGCCCTCCAAGTCCCCAGTTCTCGAGCTGCTGCCCCAAGACCTCCAGTGTCCACAGCCAGCGGACGCCCTCAAGATGATACAGACAACCGAGCCTCACTCCCAGAACTGCCCCGGATGCAGAGACCCTCCTTACCGGACCTCTCTCGGCCTAATACCACCAGCAGTACGGGCATGAAGCACAGCTCCTCGGCCCCTCCTCCACCTCCCCCAGGACGGCGTGCCAATGCCCCCCCTACACCTCTGCCTATGCACAGCAACAAAGCCCCGGCCTACAACAGAGAGAAGCCCTTGCCGCCCACGCCGGGGCAGAGGCTTCACCCTGGTCGAGAGGGACCTCCTGCTCCACCCCACGTCAAGCCACCTCCTTCCCCTGTGAATATCCGAACGGGACCAAGTAGCCAGTCTCTGGCTCCTCCTCCTCCGCCTTACCGCCAGCCTCCTGGGGTCCCCAATGGACCCTCCAGTCCCACTAACGAGTCAGCCCCTGAGCTGCCACAGAGACACAATTCTTTGCATAGGAAGACACCAGGGCCTGTCAGAGGCCTCGCGCCTCCCCCACCCACCTCAGCCTCCCCCTCTTTACAAAGTAATAGGCCACCTCCCCCAGCCCGAGACCCTCCCAGTCGGGGAGCAGGTAAGTGCTTTTTTTTCCTATCATCCTGAGAGATGAATTTATCTTTTCTCTTCATCCTTTCTGAACTGAAGAAGAATTCACTTTCTCATTCAACAGATTTTTATGTGTGTCAGACTGTTGTAAGGGAAACAGCAATATATACAAAAGATAAAAAATCCTTTTTTCCTTGACAGTCAAGCAAATAAATTAGTAAAAAAAAAATGCATATACACACACGGACGCGTGCGCGCACACGCACACACACACACAGAGTATATAAATGGTGTAGAGAAATACAAAGCAGAGAAGGGGATGGGATATACTGGGGTGGGGATGAGGTAATATTTTAAATTGCAGGAGTGAGGGTAGGGGTTGAGTCAGGGAAGGCCTTACGGATAAAGTGACAGTTTGGCAAAGACTAAAGAAAGTGAGGGAGTAAGCTAAGCAAGCCCTGAGGGCAGCAAACACAAAGGCCCTGAGACTGGGGACAGCAAGGAGACCGCTGTGGCAGGACAAGAATGAGTGAGGGGCAGACTGGCAGGACATGGTGGTCAGAAAACTAGATTCCATGGGGGAACACTGCCGGGCTTTGTGAAGACTTTGGGTTTTACTCTGTGTGAGATAGGGAGCCACTGTGGGGGTTGGAACTTGAAATTGATTTACCTTTTGAAAAGGTGACTGGCTCCCGTGTTGAGAACAGATCGCAGAAGGAAAGGAGACCACTTAGGAGGCTAGTGCATTAAACTTGATAGATGGGTAGGATCACGGCAGGTCTGGTGGAAATTGGCGTTCAGTTTTGGATGTCAAGTTTGAGATGCTTGGTAGACATCCAAGAGGAAATAACGAATTGGTGATTGGCTATCAGACTGTGAAGTTCAGGAGAGGTCTGGGCTAGAGAGAGAAATTTGAAGGATATTGAGAACCATCGGTAGGGTAAGGTCACCTAGGGAGGGAGTGTGGATAGAGAAGAGGTGAGGCCTTCTTACTTGAGTGGTCAGTGATCAGAGTACTAAACAGGAAGCTGAGAAAGGGCCTCTAGTGAGGAAGAACGGAGGAACGCCAGGAGAGTGATGGAGAAACTCCAAGGTGGAGTGAGTGTCAGCTGGGTCCTGTGCTGCTGGGTCAGGTAAGTTGAAGACTGAGAATGACATTGGTCTCTGATCATGGGAGTGATTTTGGGGACACTCCCCCAAACAAAATGGGACCCTTTTGGGTAGTTTTAGTGGAGTGGTGGAGGAGGGAGGGTGAAGGTGAGGGTTCAAGAATGCAGGAATAGGAGAAGAATTGGTGAAGATAACAGTATTTAAATATAGAAATCTCTTAGAGAGTTTGCTGTAAAGGGGGATGGGGGCTCAGGTACATGGAATAGTTGCTGGAGGAGGATGTGAAATTGAGGATTGCCCCCCCAACACACGTGATGGGAGATATTTCAGCATCTGTTTGTATGCTGATGGAATGATCCAGTAGAGTCGGGGAAAACGGCCTGAGGAAAGTCACTGGGGAGGCAAGAAGGAATGGATTTTGATCCACAGGTCAGAGGTTGCCCTTAGATAAGAAAACAGGTAGTTCTTTCCTGGTGACAGGGGGGCAGGCAGAGCCTCTCGTGAAAGCAGGTGGGTGGTGTGTGTATGGTAGGAGCATGTGGAAGGTTTCTTCTGATTTTTTTTCCTTCAGTTTTCTTGGTGAAATTGAAAGCAAGGAGATACGCTGTGAATGAGGGGAAAGAAATAGATTTGAGGAGAGAGAGAAGAGGACACTAAATGGTCATCTGGGAGCGTGGGAGAGTGAGTGGAGGAGGGAAGCATGCTCAGATCACCAGCAGCGCGAAAGGCCCACTTGAGCTCAGAGGCCACACATGTAAAGTGAGAGTCCTCAGCTCAGCATGTGTTCAGCTGTGCATTTGCAGGTAGTGCGTTGGGGTCAGAGTTGCGTGTAACCAGGGTGAGCGTTTGTTAGGCACGTGTGACTATCAGGGAGAACAGGGCAAGGGAGTTCAGGGTGTGTGTAAAGGAGCGATTGTAACGAGGGACCCTGGTCCTAAACTGAGTAAGGAGGGGATCAAGGGACCCTGGAAAAGGTGGAAGAGGGTGTGTGACCTTACAAAGCAGCATGACTGGAAGTGAAGAATGAATGAGACCAGGAGGGCTCTCTGGGGCCTTCTTAGACTCAGGAATTTTGACTCCCATATTCTGTTACATCATTTGACTTGGAGCCGCACCCTCTGCAAATGGCTTTTGAGCTTTGCTTTTAAATAGTCAGTCCCTGCAGTTATAGATGAGGTCATTAATGAAGCAGGTATGTCATCAGGAAACTTGGATTAAAAGCCCATTAACTGAACTGCTGCTGAACGAGGCACACAGAGAATTGTATTCAGGAAGCTGGCAGCCCACGTCAGGGAGTCCCCTGGGAACTGGGCACATTGCCCAGCCTGTGTCTCCCTGGCTTTACCTGTAAGGCTATAGTCCTAAAGTGACCTTTGACTTTACAAACTTTAGGGATTAAAAAAAAAAAATGACCCTTTATCTGAGCAGAGCCTGTCTCTTTCTAACCCCAACCAGGAATAGAAGCGGAGAAAAATGTAATTTCTGTGGGTTGATCGGAGTTGTTTTAAATGTCTGCAGACTTCTTGCTTCCCACTCCTCAGGCCTTTCTTTGTGGTTTCTTTAGAAAATGTGAAGTTATGAGCCTTGTTCTGTTTGCTAGCCATCACCAAGCCTGAGGCCTGGCACGAGCCTCAGCCTGCTTTCTGTGTCAGTAACCAGGGCAGCAGTTCTTGAGAGTGATGCACTGAAAAAGAAAAAAAAACATTTAATCAGAGATCTTTCGAACACTGGCTCTATTTGTTTTGTGATATGGGGCGTATTCACTCTGAGTCTCTGAGTTTGTTTCTGCATCTGTAAAATGGTGTTCACAGTACCTTCAGAGGGGGTCGTAAATAAAAGAACACATAAAAGTGCTTCATAAACTGTGGTGTGCTGTTAGTGGTTTTATGCAGAGGACATCCAGGTAGTTTTCATCTCTATTAATAAATCATATTGTGATAACAGTATGAGATATTAGACTTTTGTTTCTCTAAGAATTTACATTTGAAAGATTACTTTTATTTACAAATTTACAAAATTTACAAAAATACTTTTAGTATTTAATTTATAAATAATTTATTATTTAATTTATAGAAATGCCTTGTCTTTCCCCCCACTGGGGGAAGTAATTAGGTTTGTTTATTTTTTGAGGCAGTACTGGGGTTTGAACCCAGGACCTTGTGCATGCTAAGCATGTGCTCTACCACTTGAGCTATACCCTCCCCCTTAGAAATGCCTTTATTTACAAATTGTTTATGTTTGAAAATTACTTTTGCCTTCCTGGGGTGCTCAGGGACCCAGAAATCCCTCATAAGTGATCCATAGAGTTTGTTTCCTGAATTTTTCCTGCAGAGTAAAACAATATTTTTAAGGGAATTTTTTTGTTTTTCAAAGAATAGGATACCATCATGCTTTCCTCAAAATTGGCTTTGTCTTGGATTATAAAAGTCCGTCTTCCCATCCCAAGGCTTCTTTTGCACACTGCTTGTTTCTTAGGGTCCCAACTCTGCCACTTGAAATAATCTTAAAACTGGATGTTACAGAGAGCCCAGAAACTTCTTAGAGATAGCAGAGCCTGGTTGGGATGATTGACTGTAAGGGAGGGCACTGGAGGAGCCAAGCTGGTGGTTCTTGGTTTGGCTCCATTTTGCCTGTCCAGGTTGGCTCTAATCACTGCCACCTGCTCAGTATCTCACTGCTGTCCTTTGAGCTTGGTTAATCCTGTCTACCTTACTCCTCCTGGCCCCACCCTAGCAGGAGAGGGAGACTCCCAGGACCCTGAGAAATCTGAGGGAAATATTTTGAAGATAACCTGAAAAAGCTTCCATTTGGGTAGATTTGAAATGAAAACAGAGTTCAGAAATCTGGAGATTTCTCTTTAAGTATTGCGTTTAATGGCCCCTGTCCATACTTAAACAGACCTTGAAGAGTGAGGAAGAGTTGACATTCTGAGCGTGTTTTATGGGAAGCTAAAACTAACATTTACGGTGCCTACGGTGCCAAACTCCTTGTCTGTACACATCATCGCATTACTGTTTCATCCTTAACTAATGATCACTCTACAGAAATTGACAGTAATTCAGAAGAAATATTAATATATCCCCTTATTACTAAAACAGTGTTGTCTGTTAAACTAAGCAGTCTCTCCATGTACTGTTTAGGGAACAGCTGCTTATTGGATGTGGCCTAGGTACCAAAAGACACACTTCCATCTCACTGGGTTACACATGTGTTGGGGAGATACTTAATACTTGCGGTAGTTATGAAAAGCAGTAGGTAGCAGCTTTCTTACTGTGAGAGAGCAGCAGAAGTGTGCTGGGTCTGTTAGGTCCATGACCTTAGACAAATAACTTGAGTCCCAGTTTTCTCATTTGTGAAATGGGGATAATACCACATAATTTTGCACGGATGGCTAGAAGAATTTTTAAAGATTTAATGCATATAAATACCCAGAACAGTGCCTGGAACATGATGGATACCAAATACTTGGTAGCTGTTGTTGTGGTTAGTTAGTGAAAAGCATAGAAATAATGTAACTTGAACACATTAGAACCTGTCCCAGCGATGTTCAGTATGCTTTTGACGTTACCTTATGCTTAGCGGCAAATTTTCTGTCTTTTAAGGGTGAATTTGATTTTGGAAAATGGCCAAAAATCAGAGTCATTGTAGGTACAGATATTTTTGTTGGTGGTGCGACCTGAGAAATGGGATGTGACCATCTGGTAATATTTATTACAGGCTTTGGAGACAGTTCCAAAAGAAGTGTTCCCAATTTTTTTGAACAATGAGCCTATCATTGGAAATATGTGATCTTTGCAGATGAACCTACTATATATGTAGTTTGAAAATCGCTCATTTCAGTCTGTCCTACTAAGTGCTAGGAGGAGTGTCATAGCCCATAAATGCTGCAGGAGGGCAGAGGAAGAGGGAACCAGACCAGAGTGGGTTGCTTTGGGAAAGCCTTGAGAAGCTGGGACTTGAGTTGAACCTCAAGGGAAAGGTAGGATTTGGAGTCAGAGAAGAGGGATGGCATTTCTGAGTATTTCGGGGGCGTCACAAGAGCAAAGCAGATGTAATTCGGTTTATTCAGCTAATGTTGATGGAGTACCTACCATGTGCCGTACCTCTGGCTGAGCTTGGGAACTCAGATGAATAGACACTGCTCTGACTTTTGAGGAATACTGGGGAGAAGCGTGTGTGATAATTATAATACACACAGTAGAGTGGTAGAGAGATACAAGGCGACAGTGGCAGGGCAGAAGAGTGTACCTAATCCAACATACAGGGAAGGAGTCAAGGAAGGGAGAAAGGAGGTGAGATCAGGCTGACTGACGTGGTAGGTTACTGTGTAAGAAAGGAAAATGATTGGGTGAGATCCAGTCAAGGTGGAAGCTAAGGATTTGAAACTTCACAATGTAGGAAACACAAAGCCCTTGAAAAAGTACGAGCAAGTATTTTGGGGGAGATTAGAGAGTTGATGGTAAGCAGAACGAATTGGAAGGGTAAGAGCAGAAGCAAGGAGAACATTTGAGAGGCGTTTTGCAGCAGAATAGGCTAAATGTGAGAAAGCCCTGACTGAGAAGAATGGAGGAAGGCATGGAAAAGCAGAGGAAAAAAATCATCAAGAACAAGTAGAACTCTTGACTGACATGTCATGGGAAATGACAAGGAGTCATGTTTATAATGAACTTTGGCATCTGGGAGAATGGTCATGTTGTTAAACAGGAATGAGGAGAGGGTGAATATGATATTTAACATGCTGCTCGGAGACTCACAGAGCCTGGTCCTTTGGGAAAGCACCGAGGCCCTCTCTTAGCCCATGTCTCTCAACCCTCCCTGCCCCTCACCATCTCTACATCCAGACCTAACTGCTTTGGGTTTTCATTGCAGCTCCTCCACCCCCGCCACCCATGATCCGAAATGGTGCCAGGGATGCTCCCCCTCCCCCTCCCCCATACCGAATGCATGGGTCAGACCCCCCGAGCCGAGGAAAGCCCCCACCTCCGCCCTCAAGGACGCCAGCTGGGCCACCCCCTCCTCCTCCACCTCCCCTGAGGAATGGCCACAGAGATTCCATTACCACTGTCCGATCTTTCTTGGGTAAGTACTAGCTGTTTCAGTCTCATAGTTCCCGTGGTGACCTCACTAATTTCAGTGGCCCCTGTAGAGTGGGAGTGGAGGCTGGGTGTCCTCTGTGTACTGCAGTTCCTCTCCTGACTGTCCCTCAGACTTCTGGGTCCCATCATTGACATCCCTTTCCTTAGGCGGAGTCTAGACCTGGTTCCTTTGGGATAGTTTGAAGTAAAAGCAACAGTGATTGTGCTAACTCTAAAGCCATTCTCTTACTCCCCAAGCCTTACTATTGTGGTGAGCTTTTAGGTCAGAGAGTGATCCTCTTCAGGATTATTGAGACAGGAATTGCATATCGTCCCAGGAAAAAGAGCTCCTTTCTGACCCTTTAAAAACAAAACACTCTGTATACAATATTATCTAATAATCCAAAGCCACTGACGAGCTGCGTTACTTTGAAGAAGTCACTTCATTTTTCTGAACCTCACTTCCCTTATCTGTGGTGCAAGGAGATTGACTAGATCAGGAGTGGGTCAGGTTAACTTTTCCAAGGTTATAAATGAATCTTAGGCCCCACCTAAGAGAGACTAATTCATTAGGTCTGGGATGGAGCGCTAAGTAAAGGTTGTCCAGAGGGTGTTGTCAGACCCTTTGTTGACGTCTAGAAAGATCTGTGTACGGCCCTGTAGATTCTTTTGTTTGTTTTATGAGTGGAAGATAGTTAGGTTCATTTATTTATTTCTATTTGGAGAACGCACTGGGAATTGAACCCAGGGCCTCATGCATGCTTAAGCACACACTCTACCACTTGAGCTATACCCTCCCCCTGTAGATTCTTTAATGGTTGACTCTTCTCTGCTCCTGCCCTCATCTGTTTCTGTTAGGTGGACCAGTATTTTTTCTTTGAAAATATGCCCTTTGGAATGTGGTCAAGCCACACGCATAGAGGGACCATGGAGAGTGGGCGTGGGGGCCACGACCTGGCTTTCCCAACCATGTGGCAGAGCTAAATGAGGGTAGCCTGGGCCAGAAGGGAATTATCTGGTCAGATCTCTCACTAGCTGGTGACAGATATTCCCGTGTTAGCTTAATTTCTGCCAGTTTGTGGATTCAGTTCAGTTGGTTTCCTTTGGTGATTGTCTGTAGGATGACTGTGTTACTGAAACACAGAACTTTATTTCCTCCTCCTCCCATGCAAACAGCTGGGCTCCTTCCCTGGTATGTGCCTGGTTTTTGGTGAAAAGATGTAAAGAACTAGTACAAAGACTCACTTCTTAACGTAAAGAGCCTTTGAACACATCCTCTGTGCTTGCGAGATGCTGAGAGTAATTCCCTTCCTGTGCTCATGAACCTTGCTTTCGTGGGCAAGGCCAGCCCTCTTGGTACATCAGAAAGCACGGGGGACTAGTCCAGGGAGGGTCAGACCTGGCGCAGAGGCGTGGGAGCACGAGGAAGGGTGACAGGAATTAACACTCTGTTCCTTCTGCAGATGATTTCGAGTCAAAGTATTCTTTCCATCCAGTAGAAGACTTTCCTGCTCCAGAAGAGTATAAACACTTTCAGAGAATTTATCCCAGCAAAACAAACCGAGGTGAGAAAGAAGAGTCATGAAAGTTCTTCCATGATTGCTGAGGATGTAGAATTGGTGTACTTTTCTTAGGTTAAAATTAGCTTCCTCATCTGCATTTTCTTAAAAAAACAACAAAACCTCATCCCCAGATTGTAAAGATTAGCTTAAAGAGTCTGTCTCAAGCCTGTCTCTCCTTTTAGGAATGTTTAAGGTATTCAGGGTCTGGTGGGTGACCTTGTGTATGTGGTTTTTATTTTTTATTTTTTCAGCTGCCCGTGGAGCCCCACCTCTGCCACCCATTCTCAGGTGAAGCCTGGCTTGGTCCTGTTCCTCAGGAAAAGGATGGACCCTCTCTTCTTCTCAGATGGTCCCTTCCATTCCCTGGAAACCTGCATGACAGCTCCTAACGTGTTTCTCCAGTGCAACCGACCTCTAGACTCCAGGCGTCCTCCCAGCTCACCTCCATCTATGCATCTCATCTCTGGACTTGGTGACTGGACTCTTCACATTGACAGTAGGGTCCCAGACCCTGCATCCATCCCTCCTCTATGAGCCCCGCTAGCCATATGAGGAAGAAGCTTCCGTGTGTCCTGCTTTCCTCCTGGGGAAAGGTGCCTTGTTGTGATGCATTAACTCATTGTTGGGGCAGGGTGGAGAAGGGGACCCCTACCTTCTCCTGCCACTGTTGGGGGAGCTTGGCGGGTTTATTATATTTCATTAGTTTATGAGGCTGGCATGAGCAGGACTTCGAGGGGAGGGGATGGGCATTTTGAGTGAAACAGGAAAGGAGTTTGCAGAGAAGTGATCTGTTTTAAAGGTCACGTTTGGAGAATGGACAAGGAAATGGGTCTGCTTTGATTCGTAGCGGTTATTTTGGTTTTGCTCTCACCCCACCCCACACCCCTACCCAGAAGTAAGTTGAAGATAACACTAAATACTAATCACTTGAACTAAACATGTAATAAAAAGGGTGAAATAAACTAAGGATCCATTTAGAGCCAGTCAGTTCCTCCGCAGCACAGGGACCCTCTGGGGCTCCCTGCTCCTCTTCCTCAGGTGCTGAGGCTGAGGGACCTCAGCCTCTCACCACCTGTCCCCTAAGGGAACAGTCCCTTTCATTCATTCGTTACTGATTCACAAGCCCCAGAAACCTCTAGTGAGAGATAGGAAGATAGGACCTTGGCCTTAACCTTGACCATGAGGCTGCCTCAGTCTTTTCTGCCTGGCCTGGAAGGCCACTGACCTTTCAATCCTGTTCAGCAACTTCAGCCTGCGATGAATGCTCCAGGATGACACAGAAGGGAAGGGTGAAGCAGCTCGGGAAAGAGACCAGCTCTGCAGGCTAGGAAAGACTTGAATGGCCCACTCATTCTGAAGGTCACAGCCCATCTGACTGAGCAGGCTCTCCCTGTTCCTTTCTCCAGCACTCAACCCCCAAGACTGCAGGGGTTCACACAGCAGAGTAGAGAAGGGTGAGGAAGCTTATGGGGTAGTCAAAGACCCCTCTGTGCCAAGAAGCACAAAAATTTTGGTGAGGTGTATGTCAGTCCAGCCGATCTTCCCAGGCAGCCAGCAATATGTCGTTTCGTCTTCCAGGTTCTCGTTAAAGAGCACAGAGGAAAGGGAGGTTCCCAACCTACGTAGGAACTGAGCTTGGATCGTGGTGCAGGGACTTGCCCTTCTCCTGCAGCACGGTGGAGCGCCTGGGCTCCACGCACCAGATGGTTTGGTTTACTCAGAGTTTGGAGTGAGAGCAGAGAAGCCATGGCTGTTCCTTGGAATGGAAAGTCAGTGGAATGTTTCACCAGATACATCCAAGGCTTAAACTGCCTTAGGGGCCTTTCCAATCTGTTGGGTCGCAGACTAAGGGTCTGTATATGGTGCCCAGTGAAACCCAGGTCTTCCCAAGGCTAGATAAGAGAGCTCACAGCTTGGGTTATTTCTGTGGGGTCTGCAATCCTTGGCTGTCCCCTGGACTTCAGGGCAAACCATGATTAGGTCTGTCACTAGACTTTTTTCTAATCAGTCTTTATTTATCATTCTTATTTTCAAATCTGTTAGCAGTTACCTCCCAGCCTGTAGAGCTGAGAGAGGGGACGCTAGTGGAGGGAAAAGGAGAGAGTACAAGACCTGCTACTGCAGCAGACTTCCAGGGTAGATGCTGACCGGTTACTGAACTTGGACTGTGAAGTCTTCCCATTTATTTTTGAAATGGGGATTGATGCCTTTTGTACAACGTTATCAAAGTGTATCTTTTCTCCCCCCTCTTTACTCAAACATGGATCATCAAAACAAGCATCACGTGTAAAAGCCAAATCCCAGCTTTTCATTGGGGCTGGTATCTTCCTCCCTTGTGACCTGCTGCCCACCATAGTCCCCAGCATCGGGACCGTGTCACATGGGTCTTGATTGTATCTTCATTTTCTTGGCCTCATGAAAAACGGCCTGGGACTAGATCTAGTCTGGTGGATGTTCTTCAGAGCATGCTGATGACCCCAGTACCTATTTCAGTGTCTTTGCCTTATACATTATTTGGTCCCTCTGTTAATAACAGATTTATTATCATGTGTATTTACTATTGAAGAATGGGACTGTGACCCTCGTAGTTACTGATCTATTTTGTATGCTGTAAAAAGCTTGTAATACAGGTTTAAGGTGGGCTGGCTGCAAGAGCACTAAAACTTCTCACCTTTTAAACTGCTCTTTTTATCTGCTTGTGGGAATGCCGTCTCTTCAGTGGAAGATTGGGTGGTCTCATGTTGAGGCTGTTGCCCAGTCCCGTTAACCCCCTTGTCCCCTCCCAGCAGGAAGAGACCTTGCCCAACTTAAGCATCAGGAAGCTGTGTTAAAAGCCCCTGCGTGGGTTTGGTTTTATGATGTTTTTCTCTCGGGGGGAAAAACTTAATAATTGTTTCTTACTGCCCTTTCTGGGAAACAGGGCAGTGGCCTCCAGGTTTTTAAATGAGCTAGGTGCCCCTGTTCCCCCTTTTCTCTGGTCACCAAACCTGGATCATAGCACTTTGATACGCCAGGTGTGGTTTTCTCTCACGTGGGGATTCCCTCCAGTGGCAGAGCCGGGGCCCGCAGACTGAGAGCACGTAGGGTGCTGTCCCACCTGACGGACGTGAGGCGCCCATCTCCAGAAATTCACCCCAGCCCTGGCCACAGGCAGAGGCAAGAAGGCTAGCCGCTGGCCACTGCCCTGGGGGCATCCCCTCACCCCGTAGCTTCCCAACTTGAAACCCAGATTTACCTCCAGGGAGAGGTGAGATAAAATTGTAAATAGACTTGCTACAAAGCAACTCAGGGTTGGGGTGTGTTTTAATTCTCCTGATCACTTGAAATAATCTGTAGGCTGAGTGCTTATGGGAGTGGGGGAGAAGTGTGACTCCAGGGTCCTTCCCTTCTGCAAAGCTCTGGGGGTGGAGTGTAGGGCATCTGAGGCCCTTTGATAGCACTACACCGAGCTGTCTGTTCTGGAAACCCAACCTACGATCAACTGCAGATCAGATTCTTCACATTCCAGTTGTGGTCTTTCCTTCCCTATTGAATCTCAATCCCTGGCTATCTGTGGTCAAGGTGGCTTTCTTTAGGCCACTCTGATCTAGGGAATGGGAGGCGTTACAACTCTGCCTTCAAGATTCATCTCTTAAAAACAAAATGAAACAAAACTCCAACCACCTTCAAAACACATACAAAAAAAAAAAGGATAACTGTTTAACCGAAGGAAGGGTTTGGTTCCATTCAACTCCACGTTCATTGTGCCTTTACTTGTGTTAGATTTCTGTGCTTTCTTCCTCTCTCCCTCTTTGAAGCAATTAAAATCTTCCTTGATAACTGCTGTTTCCTTCTTTCTACTCGTTTCTAACAACTTAGTGGGTTCCCTCTCGGATTGTCTTAAATTTCATCCCACTGGTGGCAGAGGGGGCCGTGGCTTGTTGTCTCGTGTCCTTTCCCAGGGCGACCAGCATGGGAACCATAGTCAACACTGAATAAAAGACTAGAGTGACACGTGCGAAGAGTGTGTGTGTGTGTACGTGTGTATGTGTGCGTGCGTTCCTCTTTGTCCGCATGTGGATCAGTTTCTTTTAAAAAATAATTTATTGTACGATTTCTTTTGGAGTTGTTTCTGATTACAGTGCTCCATCTCCTGATTAGCATTGATTTTTTTTTCTTCCCCCTTCTACAATGTATAATCTGGTCTCAGGTTGGATTCTTTGGTACATTTCTTTCTCCTGGATGCCGTGCAGTTTAATTAAACCTTGCTTAAAAACAAAAACAAAAAACCTGAAAAACTGTGTACTCTGTCTGGAATACCGCCGAGAGTGGTGGCGCAGAGGGGAATGGGTCTGTCACCTCAGGTTAGGGTAGTGGTTTGGACTCCAGATCCTCCGAGAAACTAGATAAACTAAGGGCAGAAGCCTCTGCGGCTTCTTGAGAGTTTTCTCTCCTCTCCTGCTGTGTTTTGAAAATCACAGTTCTAGTTAGCTGTGCTGACTGGGTGATTCTGAGAGAGTTGGTCCTTATTTATGTCTGCCACCTAACTCCCCTCTGCCCAGGGTTTCCAGGAACCCAGGAGACCCTGTGACCTGTCTTTATATCCCTAATGGTTCTTTGCACCAGTGTGCACGGTAGCTTCTCACACCGAGGTGTGAAGAAGGTGAGGGCAGAGCATACAGACTGTGTCTATTTTTATGTGGGTGGTGGCTTTTTTTTCCTTCACTGCTTTTTAAGTTGAAACCTTAGCTGGCTTTCTTGAACTTTGACTTGAGGTGTAAAAATTGAACCAGACAGTCTGTGCTTACAGAGGTCAGCTGACATAAACACCACTAAGACTTAATGAGCTTAACTTGCACTTTCATCACTAGCAAAGGTCTTGAAATTATTTCCCATACTGATTCATATTGGGTGTATGTCTGAGTCACTCTCACATAATTTAGATATAAAAACCTAGGGGGGGTGGAAAGGCTGCCTTTCATTTTCATCCATACTTGCCAGATTGGCTGAATTCCTGATTATTTGACCCATCATTGTTATTAATATGATTAATAAACTACCTATTTATTGATTTAATTGTTCCTCCTGTGAATTTGAATAGCCCTCAAATGGCATTTGCCTAAATGACCCTCAACTGCCTAAACCAATAAGCTTTTTCTGTCCTACTGGGACAGTAGTGCTAGTCTGTATGTGTGGGCATGCACCCACCAGTGCACACAGGCGTTGACACAGACACACAAAAGGATGCTGGACAGGTCCTTCGTGTGTGATTTGATTCCTTCCCCCATGCTACTGTGTATAAATTAGCAAGTGATAAGGACACTAGGTTAACCACTTCAATTATGAATGAGACATAGCTGCTTATGGTGAATGTGCCTCTTGAGTATTTCCTGGCCTAAACCAGCCACAAACTGCAACTCACTGCAAGGAAGCTGCCTGTCTCAGACTTCCTGTTATTCTGCAGACAGAGGTAAGAGAACTAAGATGTCAACCTCAGGATCCTAACCACCCCAGAGGATAACTGTGGGGAAATGCCTCATCTTTGGGATCACCAGAGCCCAGGCTGGATCGGTTTCATACATAATTGAGTTCATCCTCTACTCCTAGGTTGAGGGGTGTGACATTTAAAGGACTGTATGCTATCTGACCACAAAAGTTCATGCAAAAGATGGATATCCACTTGGCAGGAATGTCCTTTCCATTCACTCAGCCAAGCATTTATTGCATACTCTGCCAGGCACTGACAATATGAAGATGAAAAGGACATGGTCTTTGCTTCCAAGGAGCTGAGAGTCTAGCAGAAGACTTCAGGACAGCCACTGGGAAAAACCTATGCGGCTTATTAAAAGGCTTTATGGTAACCAGCCAGGGAAGCCAGGTGAGCGGCATTCCAGATGTAGGAAACAGCACAGACAAAGGCACAGAAGTGAGAAACAGAACGATGGTATGCTCGTCATGTTGCTGGAGTACTGGAAAGAGAAAAAGCTTCAAGCAAGTAACCTTAAAAAGAGGCCTTTCAACTTGGACATTCTGTGATTCTCTGTCTGCTTCCACAACAGTCATTTACTTGTGTAGGATTTTCTTGGACCAGTGCTGTATTTTCTGGCGAATGTTTTCACAGACTCCATCCAATGTGCACATGAAGTACCCATAGCTTCCTCTGCTCCCTCGATCCCACTGTAACCAAGGTAGGTAGGTTGTTCACCACCATCCCTTAAAAAGGCTTCCTAGACACTTGTTACCATTTCTGGTTATTAAGGACAATTTTTAGGTGCCAGGTTATAAAAATAAATATGAACAGTGAAAGCCGCTTCCTACGTTCTAGTGCCCTATTTAAAAATCAGAAATACCATCTGGTAGGAAAACTTCCATTCTGTGATAACACCGTCTCCATTCATGGCAGCCTATGTGCTTCACTCTTGTAGTTTTCAGCTCCTAGAAAGCCTTCCCAAAATGTGTTCCTTCACCACCTCCCTCTACTTTAGAACCTACATCTGTCTAATCCTCCCCCTATGTTTAATGGTCAGGAGTTTGATTTCCTGTCCGACTTCCTGAGTTCGAATTCCAGTTCTTCCACTTACTAGTTGTGTGACCTTGGGCAGATTTATTCAGCCCTTCTATTTCAGTCTCCTCATTTGTAAAATGGAAATAATTCCAACTTCACGGGGTGCCTGTGAGAATTAATAAGATGGTAAAATACCCGAGCTCAGTCCCTGGCATACACATAAGTACTCAGTATTGACTCTTATTAATCTCCTAAATGAACTAACTACAATTAACTTGATTGTAATACTGTAGTTTTCCTATGCCCTGGCTCTATTGTTCTATATCATTTGATATTGAAGGGTGCGCGATAAGTGTTGACCATCACCTACAATTGGGTTCTGGCTTTTAACAGAACCTGAAGCTTAGCTGGGTTATTAGCTCTGGAAGCTGGCCTGTAAATTACTGCTCTAATTTATATTTTTCATTAAAAGCTCAGCTTGCTATTTCTTTTATAGCGGTCTTCTCTGGCCCCGAAACCCTAGTGTTAAGCCATAAAAAAATTTTTTTTAATTAGGGGCCATAATTCTCTCCACTCTCCACATTGCGTAGATTAATGGGATTAATGATGGGAAAGTGCAGAGATTTAATGGGATTAACGATAGGAAGGTGCACAGAATACCATATTCTCTTTGACAAAACAAAAGCAAAGGCCTGGCCCTCTTTCATCTTTGAAACAAATCAGGGAGATACTGCGATGAAACATAGTGTCTTTCTTTATGCAAGTGTACAACTTCACAAAAAAACACTGGTTGGGGAGTCAGGAAATTTGAGTCCTAAGCCACCAAGATTTCCCTGACCTCTAACCCTCTGCACATTTGCTTTGGGCCTTTCAGGGGTGAGCATTAGAAAAGCAAAGCGTCTAACATCCTATCTGGCACCCGGAACCGCCCAAATAATGGTAGGTATTATGTAGTAGCTCTCTGAAACTCTAGCCCATTAGGATAACGAAAACGGGTGCGTACGGCTGTGAGAAGGGGCACGAAAGAAGGGCGTGGGAATACAGTCGCGAGCGGCGAAGACCACATCTCCCGCCAGGCTTTGCGGCGGGGCAGGCCCGCCTTACTCAGCGTCGCCCCGGCGCAACCGCGCGTCTTTCCGCAGAGGCCCCGGATGTAGACGCCCGTGGGGGCTCAGTGGGCGCGGCCTCACGATGGCGCTGAGACCTGGGGCTCTCTTATTGGTTGTGCGCCTTCCGGCTTGATTGGCTGTGAAGGAGGGGGCGGTGGCCAAGGCGCGCGGCGCTCCGGCGACACCCAATCAGAAACGTGGCCGGGCTTTGGCGGGAGGCGGGAAAGCTGCGGCCGGGCAGATTTGGCGCGAGCGCGGCTGGGCTTTCCGGCTGCAGGTGTGGAGTGTGTCCGGGAGTTTGTGGTGGAGACTCCCTGAAGCTGTTTGCGGGAGACGGGAAAGATCTGGCACTGAGGTGACGCAGCCCTGTGAGGTGGAAAGGAGAGGGGGCCCGGGGCTCCGGGGGCAGCAGAGCTGGGCGAAGGGATGTGGCGAGGGCCACGGATTCCGATACAGCTCCAGGTGGAGTGAGAGGAGGACAGCTCAGATCGCGGGAGGGAGAGAGAGGAGGCCGGGGTAGGGAAGGGAGAGGTGCATCCTCGGAGTCGCCTGGCAGTTGTGCTGAGTGCTGCGGGAGAGAGATGTGGCGGAGTGGGGCTGAGAGTCAGGTAGAGCGGGGACTGAGTGCAGAGTGAGGACTTGGGGAAGACGGTTAAAGTGGGAGGCTGCTGGGCTAAGCTGAGGATAATGATCTACCCCGTGCCTGGAGCCAGGGGATTAGAAATCCTACAGAAACCAGTTATAATTAACTTCTTAACTGCACCGCTCAAGTGCTTAAAAAATTGAGTCTGGAGACAGAATGCCTGGTCTTACATCCTGCTTTGCTGTGACGTTGGGCCTCTCTGCCTCTCAGTTTTCTTATCTATAAGTTAAAGATAATAATAGTACCAATCTCTAAGGTGGTTGTAAAACTTACATGAGCTTAAATGCTCATGACAGCTTTTTACACGTAGTAGGTGGACAAGGTGTTCTCTCTTGTTGCAAAGATTTGGATGAGACGCAGAACTAAATGCTAAAATGTTGTCATAATATAATTTACTTATGAAGTGGGTGTTGATCAACGGTGTAAGTTCTGTGTTACTTTTCCTTCACTTTTACATATTGACTGGCTGTCTTGTTCTCTTTTGTGCCCAGCTGTGTTGCCATCATGCCTCAAACCCGATCCCAGTCACAGGCTACAATCAGTTTTCCAAAAAAGAAACTGTCTCGGACATTGGACAAACCTAAAAACTCCGGTGACAGCAAACTAGAACTGACAAATGTCCAGGCCATACCCTGTTCTCCTTGTGCAAAACTTCTGCCTCTCAGCCCCAGAAAACGTCTAGGTAAGCTATCCAATATTTAAATACAACTTTTTTGACTGTTAGCGCTTGACCTCTTTCCGCAATAAGATGCCTTTGAAACGGCTTTCTGAGTTGAGTTAAGACCAGTCTATTCCCTTTGGTTATTTTCAGAATGGTCACTAAGTGCTTTCTGAACTTCAGAGTTAAGCTACTTATTGAAGTCCCTTTCTGAACTACTTAATAGATCTGATCTTCAATTCCTTAATAAACTTGTTTCTATTGGTGTTTTAAATGACCTTGCAGTTTAGTTATACAGTATTTTGAAACTTGCCTCGGTAGTTGTGAAGTTAAGAGAAACGTGACAGTTCTTATTTTATAACAGTGGTTGGTAATCCTTGTTTTAGATCATCTGTTTTTTATTAGGGGGTGATTTGGCAATATCTGGAGACATTTTTAGTTATCATAACTGAGGGGGTGCTACTGACATAGTGGATAAAGGCCAGGGATGCTGCAATGCACAGGACAGTCCCCGACAATGAAGAGTTATTTAGCCCAAGATATCAGTGGTGCCCAGGTTGAGAAACTCTGTTTTAGAGCAATCCTAGAATTTAATTCCACTAAAACCCACTTGGTTTCTACCAAATAGTAGTAAGACTCAGTAGTGCCATCTGGTGGCCAGTGTTTGCTTCTGGATGAGAGGCATTTTATTTTGGTGGTTCTGGCTGAGGTAGAAAGAAATTCACCTCTTCTGGGGGGGATGCAGGGACCTTCCCAAGTCCACTGCTAAGAATGACCACGTTTTGATTTTAATACATTTCAGGTGACGACAACCTGTGTAACACGCCCCATTTACCTCCCTGTTCTCCACCAAAGCAAGGCAAGAAAGAGAATGGGCCCCCTCGCTCACATACCCCTAAGGGGCGTAGATTGGTATTTGACAATCAGCTGACAGTTAAGTCTCCCAACAAAAGAGAACAAGCCAGAGTTCACCCAAACAAAACACGTTCCTCAATTCGAAAATGTGAAGACATCACAACAAATTCTGAGCAGAGATGTTCGCTGGAGAAGGAATCTGCATGTATGAGACTGTTCAAGCAAGAAGGTTTGTTCTTACGTGGCAGCTATTCACGCAGCCTTGTAAACAAGGCTGGCGATTCCAAGTGAAACCCAGTGGGTCTTCTCGGTCACCTCTGTTGTGTCTAATTGTCCTTTCATGTCTGGCACAGGCACTTGCTACCAGCAAGCAAAGCAGGTCCTGACTACAGCTGTCCCGGATCAGCTGCCTGCCAGGGAAAAGGAGATGGATGTCATCCGGAATTTCCTGAGGGAGCACATCTGTGGGAAAAAAGCTGGAAGTCTTTATCTTTCTGGTGCTCCTGGAACTGGAAAAACTGCCTGCCTAAGCCGAATTCTGCAAGAGCTCAAGGTACATTGAGAGCCTGAATTATGCTCTTGCTAAAATGACACTGATTATTAAAGGTTAAGAAAGAGTAGAAGTGCTTAGGGGATTGAAGTTTCCCCCCCAATAAGACACTTCATTTTCCTGTCTAAATCTTTCCCAGTGAAAGTGGAGCTTATTCTTTTGCATGCTGTTAACTCTTTAAAGACACCCCAGGTTCTATCAAATTTTTATCCAAGGCAAAGTAACTCGTATGTTTGCATTTTTCTAGAAGGAACTGAAAGGCTTTAAAACAATCATGCTGAATTGCATGTCCTTGAGGAGTGCCCAGGCTGTATTCCCAGCCATTGCCCAGGAGGTTTGTCAGGAAGAAGTATACAGGCCAGCTGGGAAGGACATGATGAGGAAACTGGAAAACCATATGACTGCGGAGAAGGGCCCCATGATGTAAGCATTGCTCTGCTGCATGTTGCTCTGTGAAAATCTGCAAGGTCTATTGCCCACAAACTCGCATTCTTGCCTCTTGAATTTAATCCATTTGTTCATAAAAAGAACATTTCCTATATTTGCTTTAGGAGAGGTAGTTACATAAGCTTAAAGGGAAAGAAGAAGGGGGGAAAAAACCTTCTAATTTTAAATTGGGAAAAAATGTTTTTAAATGAAATGCTGGAAAAACCTGTATGTTTTTTGGTGATCGCAGGGGTATCATTGTAACAGTGACTGGAGATAGGACATATTGGGATCTTCAAACTGGTCTCAGCTATAGGAATGTGACCTAGAGTCAGCCCAGACCAAACAGTTTGGAGAGTTAAGAAGGTGAATGGGGATACTAATTGTTTCTCTTTCTATGTAGTGTGTTGGTGTTGGACGAGATGGATCAGCTGGACAGCAAAGGGCAAGATGTACTCTACACACTGTTTGAATGGCCATGGCTAACCAGTTCTCGATTGGTGCTGATTGGTTAGTGCCCTGTTGTTAATGTTACTTGGTGGTCCTAAAGACCTCTTTTTTTCAATCTCTTCAGTTTATTTATCACCTATTATTTTATCTTAAACCAGCTTTCTGCTTATCAAAATAAGAAAGTTACTATAAAATAGTAACCTTAACTAAGGCAAATCAATTTTGTTAATTCTGAATAAAAATGATAATACTTGGGAGGGATAGATTAGGAGTTTGGGATTAATGATATTTCTTACTATATATAAAATAGATAAACAACAAGGACCTGCTGTACAGCACAGGGAACTATATTCAATTTCTGGTTATGAGCTATAGTGGAATAGAATCTGAAAATATATACATGTGTATACATGTATAACTGATTCGCTTTGCTGTGCATGTGAAACTAATATTGTAAATCAACTATACTTCAATAAAAAATAAGAATTAAAAATTTTTTTTCAAAAATAAAGATGTGACCAATGATTCAAAACAAAACAAAAAGACGTAATACTGCATTTCAGAGACAATTGGTTTTTAGAGTGTCTGATCCTGCTTCTCAGTGAACAATTCTAAACCTACCTTGAAAAGAGCATTGTATGAATATTGTGTACACCTCACCTAATGAGTATTGGGGGGTGGGGGCAAGTGGAAAGCACACTGGAATGCTGGGTTATAACTGGAAATTTTATTCAGCTTTCAGAGGATTTAGTTTTCCTTTTAGGATGGTTTGACCAGTGGTGATTAGTGTTATTTATCTCCTCCTCAGGTATTGCTAATACTCTGGATCTCACAGACAGAATTCTGCCAAGGCTTCAAGCTAGAGAAAAATGTAAGCCACAGCTGTTGAACTTCCCACCTTACACCAAAAATCAGATAGCCACTATCTTGCAGGATCGACTTAATCAGGTGAGTGTCAACTGTTGTACCAAGTTCTGTGTTCCTTGTATCACATGTGAAAGGGAAACTGAACAATAGGTCTAAAATATTTTGCTTTGATTGTTACTCCAAGGGAGTTCCTAGGAGCCATCCATAGTGAGAACATTTTCATATGAATTTCCACCCATTGTTCCATTTATTGGATGCCTCAGTGTCGGAATAAAAATAGTAAGAGTTAGAGGAATCATCCACATACTTCTCTAATGGCCTTTAAACACAGGGCCTGAAGAAGCACTTTCTCCTTTGTAAATGACCAAGTAGATTCTATTTTAGTTTAGTTTTGCTAATTTAAGTTTCAGTTGCTTTTTTCCCCTTCGTGAACCTCTGCCCCATTCCTACAAAATACTTAAATGTATAAACTCTCCATTTACTTATAAGCAGAAAAGGCATCTCTTAGACCCTAAAGGTTGGTGCATCAAGTTTAGACTTAAGTGTGAAAATACTTATACAGAGGGGGAATCTTCTGGTTCAAACTATCGTCTTCTGTGTCTTGTCCAAAGGCATCTAAAGATCAGGTTCTGGATAACGCTGCTATTCAGTTCTGTGCCCGCAAAGTCTCCGCTGTTTCAGGAGATGTTCGCAAAGCACTAGATGTTTGCAGGTGAGTTATGGCACTGTTGGCTGCTTTTATTAAAAAAAGAAATGCTGCTAATTGTCTCATGTAACTCAAGTGAATGTGGCTTACGAGTCTCCATTCTGCCACTTTTTATGCTCAGAAAGGAGGACTTGTTTCTCAGTGGGGAGCTCTGCATTTCCACCGTGTTAATGTCTGAAACATTATCAGTCCATTACCTACAGAGGGAGAAACAAATGAGATGTTGCTGGCACTCCCTGTGGTGATTATAGATTGGTTAATTACATTTGTATTAAAAAAGACTCCAGTTTACTTTTCCATTAGCTGGTCTCAAGCAGGTTTATTTATGGACCTGAACCATCTTTGCCTTGAGACTTTTTTTTCCTTCCTTTGCTTTTGTGAGCACCCCTTCCTCCAGTTGGTGGTCCCCCACAGTTGTACTCCAGGTCTCTCTCTCCCTTCCCACCCCCCTGCCCCTCCTGCTGGGGGAGCCTCTGTGCTGACTGATGAAATTTCTTCCTTCCCAGTAGGGACACTGGGTCCATTAAAATGATACTTGCTGTGCTGGCCCACTAGTCCAACCTCCCCCTACTGCCATGCAGAAGATCCAGGTCTGGCTTATGGCTTCCTGTGGGCAAAGTAGTTTGGAGAGAGCAGTGGGAGAGTAAGCTCTTCCTATTGCTAGATGGTGTGATCCTGGTTTTGAAAGTTTCCCCTAGTCAGCAAACTACTTGGGTAAAGACTGAGGCTCTGAGCAATAGTGATGTAGGCCGGTGTGTAGGCCGGTGTTTAGCCTACCTGTATCCTGTGTATATGTAACAGCAGACTCTCCTTTTAGGTCTGCTGTGGATGGATGGTACTGGCTTTCTTTAGTCAATCACCCACGCTACATATCTTCCCCCATCCATGACATTTTCTCTTGGTCCAAAATGTTATCATTGGCTCAATGTATGATCACTTTCTTGGCATCTATAAGAGGAAACCGTGTAGTGTTGAAGTTTCTCAGATTTCCTGGTCCATGAATTATTTCAAGGCAATTCATTCTTCTTAAGCTGAGACATAATCCAGTTTTGTTTGAGGGCTTTAAAATTATAAAACAGGTTGCTTTCTGTTAATGTGACTGTTTTGAGCTTGGTGGTTTGGTGTAGTGTTTGGTTTGGCTCAGCCTAAATTAATTTTAGAAATTTTATTTTATATAGGAGAGCTATTGAAATCGTAGAGTCGGATGTCAAAAGACAGACTATCCTCAAACCACTGTCTGAATGTAAGTAGTTTATCTCCTTTCTATCTTCTTTTATAATTGGAGGCTTAACTTTCCTGAGGAAAGAGTAGAAAGATGAAATGAGCATAGTTAAATCCACACTCACCCCCTCATGTGTGTGTGCGCGTGTCTGTGTTTTGCATCAATTTCATCTACTTTATTTCAAGCCTGCCTGCCAGTGCTATAATCCATGCATTGCTGGAAATGAGTTCTCCAGGGTGTTATGTGAATGGTTGGGACAGAGTCAGTTTTCTTTCCAAGCTCTAGGAATGAAAGCTAGACAATAAGTTTGCATCAACTTCTCTCTGGGTACTTACATTGAATTCACCTTAGGTCTCAGAACAGGTGAAAGCAAAGCCTGGTAAATAAGGGTCACACAGGGAAAGAATTGAGTTTCACTTGGAATATTGCAAGCCTTTCAACAGGTGGAAGAGGGTGGAGTTTCAAAGATGGTATTGCGACAGTAAACTACAGGCTATCACAAAAATGACAGAATTAATTTTCTTTTCCCTCAACCTTGTTCTCTTAGCTACAGCAGATGTCAAATGGCCATGAACTGCATATCTTGTGTTTAACATCCCCTGTTCATCTTAGAAACAGGACAGTCTGATTTGATTGTTTCTTCCTTCCCTCCTGCACTGGTTAAGAGCTACTAAAATTGTTTCTAGCACTATAAATATAGTTCCACAGAAAACACTTCTCATCAACTTGTTGAAAGAAAATTAATAGAAGTATTTCAGAAGGAGCCAAACTTAGTGGTTGAGTTGATGGTGGGTAATATCTGCCAGTGCACAGACTAGATACTGGCTTCTCTTCAGCTTTTCACAGGGTTCCCTTTTTCCCTACCAATAACACTTAGGCTTGTCAGTGGCCCCCGTGAGCGCCTCTGGCACACATATAACTAAAAGAGGTAGTGAATTCCTGTCTTTTGACATCTGGTAGGTGTGGTTAGCTTTTAATGGTTCTAGAAAGCTATAGGGAGACTGACTTCAACCAGATGTAAGAAGACGCTTTTCAATAAACAGCACTAATTGGACTTTGACAGAGAGCGGGCGCCCCATTTAATGATACTCAAAAGTTGGACAGGCGACCACTTGCTGGAATTACTTTAGAAGGGGCTCAGCCATTGGGTAGGGAGCAAGGAAAGACCTAAATTCCTTTCAACTTTAAGGTTCTGCTTCTTGGTCGCGGATCTCCAGTGTCTCCTCTACAATGAGTCGTCGGCAGTGTCCCGTTTGTGGCAGTGACATCGAAGCAAATTGTTGTCAGACAGCCAACTTGGTCTCAGGAAGTAACTTTAGGCAAAGGTTGTTACAGAGCAAATCCCTCCTCTGTCTTGCAATTCCAGCATCTCCACACAATGAGGCCGTAGTCCTCTGCACCTTGTTGGCAGCCTCCCAACCTCCAGCCTCTGAGATGGTGCTATCTGCTAAGATATCCAATGCCATTTTCTCAAGTGTTGCTCTACTGTAGATCAGCCCAGGCAAGTGAACCAAACCTCAGAGGTCATTTGGGGAGGCTATCCAGAGGCCATATGTATGATTGTCCACATTTTGCCACTCAGTTGATTCAAAATATTAAGTAATTTTTCCAACCTTTTAAAATTACCAGGCCCCAGGGTGGAGTATAGCTCAGTGGTAGAGTGTGTGCTTAGCATGCACAAGGTCCTGGGTTCAATCCTCAGTACCTCCATTAAATAATAAATAAATATACCTAATTGCCTCCCCCCTAAATAAATAAATGTAAATAATAAAACCTAATTGCCCACCCCCTAAAAAAGTAAATAAAAACTTTAAAAAAAGTTAAAAAAGAAAATAAAATTACCAGGTGCAATCATCTTTGCTTCAAGATTCTATTATCCCTCTTGGCCTTTGAGCTATCAGGAACTTCCAAGGCAGAGTCCGTTAGTTCTCCATCGGTCCTTATTCTTTCACGAGGTAGATTTTGTCTCTCTGACACTAAGTTGCATTCTACAGGATAAAACAGCTCACCATTCTGCCCAGAAAAAGAATAACCCTACTTTCCAATTCATCTCACATTTTGACATCTTTCTGAGGATCACGCTGTGTCTCATCCTTTGGCTTCTAGTTACAGAATTGGAACCTCTGCCACCCCATGACTGCTCTTGAATTTCTTTCAACTGAAGCTTAGTATCATCTGTCTCAATACCCACAATATTAAAAAAAATGTAATTAAGCTTGATTTATTTGCTTTATAGGTAAATCACCCTCTGAGTCACTGGTTCCCAAGCGGGTTGGTGTTATTCACATATCACAAGTCATTTCAGAAGTTGATGGAAACAGAATGACTTTGAGCCAAGACGGAGCACACGATTCCTTCCCTCTTCAGCAGAAGATCTTGGTCTGCTCTTTGCTGCTCCTGACCAGACAGTTGAAAATCAAAGAGGTCACTCTGGGGAAGGTTAGTTGGGAATCTCAGCAGATGGAGCTGGGGTGGAGATGACAATCTGCTTTGCTGAGCAGATATTTTCCAAAAGGCCTGTCTTGCTCCAGCTGATATGAATTAAAAATGGATCTTAACAATAAGAGTAAGTACTGGTATCACATAAAAGGCAGCTGACTTTATTTCCCTTGGGTTGTGGTTGAGAATTTACCATTAATCTCCCCTTCACTTCTGCCTCTCCCTGTGAAATATATAAAGCCCCTTTCCTGCATTACAGGATAGGTTTTTGGCATTGTCTCCATAATGCCTTTTTGAGGATTTTATTGAAAAGAAGGAGAATTAGGGTATTCCGATAACTGTTTTGCAAACCCAGACTCACATTTTTTAAAGGATCACAAGGTTACAAGAAATATGACTTACAAGCAACATTTGTTCTCCCTTGTTTCCTCCCAGTTATTTGAAGCCTATAGTAACGTCTGTCGCAAACAGCAGGTGGCAGCTGTGGACCAGTCAGAGTGTTTGTCACTTTCAGGGCTCCTGGAGGCCAGGGGCATTTTCGGATTGAAGAAAAACAAGGAAACCCGCTTCACAAAGGTACAGTGAACTGCTTCTTTGTGACATTGCTTTTAATCGTCCTGCTCTGGAGAGCTTACCTTTTGCTAAAGATTTTTAATGGACTGCAATTAGATAAATAATTTTTTTGTTAAGGTGTGTGAAGGCAGGGCTGTAGTATGAATGAGATTTTTTTTCAGGCCATTGGAAAAGCAGTGTTTAACTTGCTTGCCTCTTGTGAGACAAGTTTAACATGGTAGAAGTTTGCATAGTAAAAACTTTGTGAGTTCTCCACTGTGAAAATTCCTTTTCTCTTCTTTCCAGGTGTCTTTGAAGATTGAAGAGAAGGAAATAGAGCATGCTCTGAAAGACAGAGCTTTAGTTGGAAATATCTTAGCTACTGGATTGCCTTAAATTCTCTTCTTTTATACCAATACCCACGTGAAAGTATCCAGCCGACATTTGAGAGAGCGATGAAGTCTTCATTTTAGTACTTTATACACTCATGTCTGAAAACAAACATGACCTTTTTTACCTAAAGCTGATAAAAATTTAATCTATAGATTCATGAATATTAGCACAGAATAATATCTTTGGGTCTTATTATGTTCATGCATAAAAAACTATGAAGTAGACCCTTTTAGTTACATTCGCTACCTCTGTCACTAGCGTGTCGCTAACCAGGAGGCTTGCAAGTATACAGATTTATGTTGTGGAAAATGCGCATATTTACTTCTTCGTTTCCTCAGACATTAGTGTATTTTAAAGAACTTTGGGACTAGACGAAGAAGAATGAAAAAGGATGACACAGGAAAATAAGTCCACATGGAGATGTGGAGGACACTTTGATCAAAGAACGTATTTCTTTTTGGAGTGTTCCCGTTGCAAATACCTCCACATTGTGACATTTTAAAGACTCACTGAGTTTCCTGGGCACTCCCAAGGTCGTGCGGGTGCTCAGGAGAATGTGACTTTACAGATTGTGAATATATTTATTTTCAAGCTGCGTTCTTTGTCTTTTTAAGCAAACACATTGCAAGAGAGCTCAAACTTGCAGAAAGCAATGGGACAGTTCCTCCCCAGACTATCCCACAGCCCTAGCTGCCCTCAGACGAAGCCATTTCTTTCCGAACACCTTAGCTTGGGGTAGTGTTTTTGTCTAAACCTCCTATTTTCCCAGTCTTATTAGATAAATTGATCCATATGGTTACTCAAGTCTCACCTTTTCTGGGTTTGGCTTCCAGTGGCATTAAATAGCAATTTGTGGCGGGGACGCCAGAGGGCACACTTATAACACTGACTACCTGGAAAGTGCAGGCATTGGGCTGGGGTAGTTTGGAGGGAAGGGGAAAAAAAAAACTTCAGTTTGATTGTTTTGGGAGATTGTTGTACTTTTATAACTCGAGCAAATTCTTGGCATGCAAACTATGTGCGATATGCATGGTCTGAGAGCCAGTGTCTGAGACTGCTGCTCCCTGGGCTCTTCCGTCTCCCCCTGCCTTTCTGACATGGCCTGAGTTTGGGAACTTGATATGTGTACAAATGATCTGTTGGCCACTGTTTCATTCATGCTGCCCACTGTATCCTTGCAATGTGATCTGAGCTACAGCAGGTGGTACGGGATGGGAGAAAGACATGGAGAGAGCCCTCTGAAATGAACACTACCCACTGGTGTGTGTGCAGCAGAGCGGAGTCTGTAGACAGGAGTCTGAATGACTCACCCTCACACGCCTTTATTAGTGCATTCATTCCCTCTGAGAGCAATTTGCGAGTGGAGAACACAGCCCTATACCTCGAAGCTCGGAGTGTGTTCAGGGCTATAAGGGTTAATAAGCATAATTGCAGAGATTGTCCGAAGGCTGATGGAAAGCAGAGACTGAACGGGATTGAGAACAGATGCGAGGCTTGATTTAAATTACATTTTATTGGATGCTGCAGCCTTAAGAGACGTGACTGCTTTACAGTTTGTTTCCACACTGTGGGCAGCTGCTGTCTGTTCTGTGTCCACAGTAGGATCCTGCCCAGAAAGGAGCGGCCTCCCCACCTTGTTGTGTTTGAGGCTTGGCGCCTTCCTCTAAACTGCAGGGCTGGAGTCAGGAACATGGCTTGACTCGCAGTGGGGCTGCTATGTATCCTCCACGGCTCTGGGCCAAGATCGCATTTGCAGAGTCAAAGGGGCCAAATTTCTTCCCCCTCTACCTCCTTTCTCTCCCTTTCCCCTGGTATTTGGAAATCGGGTTTTCTGTGTACTTTGTTAGTTTCCTTTCCTTCGGTTCTCCCCCCACTGTCAATTTCTAGGTCATCGCTGCTCTTAAGACTTCAGCAGTTGGAACAGGGTTGGTTCTGTCAATGATGCGTGAAGCAGACTTAGAGTCCCTGCTTGGCTTCCGCTGCCCTTGTGGGAGCAAAAGCTGATGTATGTTTGTCAGTGAAGTCTTAAGTGTAATTCAGACAGCCAGGGAGCAGACTGAGAGGAGGAAGAAAGTCCTTTTCTCGCTGAAGCTGTGAGCTCTGGGAAGGTGGTGGGATTTCTAGGGTGCTGGGCTGGGCTTGTGGTTACTAGTTTTTGCCAGGAGCCTAGGCTGTTTCACACGGAGTAGTGGCAGAGATGCTGACCTACATTCTTCCTCTTGAAGGTGGTGGGGTGTGTGTCTGTATCCTGGCTTATTTATTTTTCTTCAGAGAAGCAAATTAAGCATCCATAGTGTTGGTAGGTATTGCCATGGAAAGCACAGAGACACAATAAAATTGGTGTGGGTTGCAACCCCAGAGTTGCCACTGACATTTCTAGCTCAGTGAAGACCTGCCTGTGGCTGGGTAACTGGCGAAAGAGTGTGAGGTCCCCGCGCCCAGAGATCCAGAAAGCCGCCAGAGCTCTCTCTCCCCTCTCACTGCTCCTTGCCTCTATTAAATGCTCTTTTAAGAAATACCAGCAAGAACTGGGAAGTAGGAATGAGATATGACTTGGGGCTTCTTAAAAATATCTGTGGAGACGTGTTATCTTGACTACTGTGGGAGACCAAAAGAGAGAGCCAAAATGGAAATATTATTTACCTCGGTATCTGTGCCTGGGACCTGGGAGGTATTCAATAAACAACTGTTGAACGAACAGATAGGTGACCAGGTGAGATGCCGCCTCTCCCTCCATCCTGCGGACGGTTCTAATCTGGAGGTAGCATGCTGGTGCTTTTGCACTGAGGTGGAGCAGGCCACTGTAAAAGTTGCTCTCAAAAAAAAAAATAAGTAAGTGGGGCACTCCATTTTACAACCTGTGTCAGCACAGCATTTATTGGCCTCACCTATGTTCCAATGGCTCCCTCTGATGTCCTGGTATTTTGCTTGAGGCAACTTCCATGTTGCTCCCAGGAAGCCTTGGCTTTGGGAAGACCGTCCTACCTACAGGGAAGAGAGGTGCCTGTCTGGAAGCTGTGCCTCTAGTTGGCAAAGGGCTAGGGAGGAACCCACCTTTTTAACTTTTTAACTTTTGGGGAAAGATGTGATTTCAGGTTCCACCCCTATCATGTGCTCTCGATGATGCTGTCTTCTCAGAAGAGGTGGTTCTGTAGGGGGAGAAGGCATGCCCTCTGGCCTCCCTTGATTTTCAACCCCAGCTCCAAGGCGCTGGTGGTAGAAGCTAATTGGGTGCAAGGGGCCTGGGTAAAGGCTGTCTGAAGACTGGCGAAAGGAGAGAGCCAGCTCCTTTTTAAGAAAGCTCTAATTGAGTTCTGAATCAGCCTCTCTGCCTTTGATCCCGCCTCTGTTTCCCACACTGCCTGAAAGCGCTAGATCAGCACTTTATAACAAGGGTGCGCCTGCTCCCCACACCCGCCCCCCCTCTCCTGATGCTCTCTGCTGCCGCCATCCACTGCTTGTCTCCTTCAGTTAAGATAATGAAGATGCTGAGAGATAAAATGTGTATTTAATAAGGGTGGGGGTAGGGAGGCGGAAAGGGGCAGCCAGGGCCTTCCCTAGTTTGGGGCCCAGCCAAAACTCAAGCTGAAAGCAAAGCTCGAGTAAGACTTGGCCCTAGGGTGTGGGGGTTTCTGGGCCTAGATCCAGCTGACTTCACTGCCTGCTGTTTGCCCTAAATTCCCCCACCTCCACCCTCTCACCCCCACACTCCTTTCTTTCCTCTCATCTCTCTCCCAATAGGAAAAAGGAGCATTGCTTCAACCGTATTTTCAGCTGGTAATTTGGCCTTTGGTGTGGTGCCCCCCACCCCAGAGTCAGCTGCAAGGTCGGGCTAGGGCAGCCCCTCCAGCCTGGGCCTGGAGAAGCTGTGGGTTCACAGCAGGGGGTGAAAAAAAGCTGGAGTTAATGAAGACCAGCTGCTAGTCTGGGTTCTGCCCACAGTTCGCTGCCTTTGGTGGTGGTTAGAGGTACGAGGGTGCGTGACCTCCATCCCTGGGCACAGGGATATCCTGTGGCAGCTGAGGCTTGCGCTGCTCTCTGAGCCAGGCTTTATCCTGAGGTTGTAATACAGGAGTCTGTTTCCCTCTTCCCCTGATCCTCCCCTCCCCAAATGACACTCAGCCCTTACTGAGCTTTATAACTGTAGTGGTGGCCCAGCTGAGATCTGAAGATCTCCAAGCTCTTCTGTAAACACTCATTAACTGCCTGGGAAGAACCGAGAGCCCTGTTTAACAGCTGGGAGAGAACTGAGGCACATTAGGGTGAAAGGCTTGACCTGAACTTACCCCATGGACTCCACTGTGGGGCCCTCCAACCTTGCCATCCAGCTCCTTTCCCCAGTTCCTTCCAGACAGAGACAGAGGTGGAGGCCATGCTGCTGCCCTCTCCCCTTCCAGGAAGGGGCCATCTCTCTCCCTTTCCTTGATTCTGTCCCTGACTTCCCCTGGCCCTTCACCCCATGACATTTTCCCTGCTCTGCTGCTGGAGATATGTGCAACCCTCCTTGCAAAATGTTCTCAGCCCAGCCCTCTGCAGCCTTCCCATCCACCCTTCCCTGGCCCACCTGGCCCACCAACCCTGAGCTCTCCCTTTTGGGCTACTGAGAAGGCGGGCTTTCCTAAACTGGGTCTGCAACACTGAAGTTGATCTAATTGTGCTAAGAGGTCCCCTGCCCCCTATATTTATCCTAAATGGTGCCTGGAAAAATACTCTTTCTATGACTTGTTCATTCAAGTTTCAGGATCCTCTTAAAGGCTGGGTCAGGGTGCAAGTTGACCCCGAGGTTCTGCATCCCCTTCTTTCACTGACAATTGCCTTTTCTCCTAATGGATGAAGCCCAACTTCCCCCAGCCCCACCCGCTTATCCTCTCACCTGTCTATCTGCACACCTCAACACACTCCCAGATACACATGCCTCAGTCTGAGGGTATAAAACTACCAGTTTCCAACTGCTATCCAAGTCGTACTGCCCTTTTTACTTGCTGGAAATAAGGTGGGGATTTTTTTTCCCCCTATCCTCCTGACTGGCCGCCTAGGCATTTAGGAATAGTGGGGAGTGATGGGGGAGACTGTGCTCTATCTATGAGGGAGAGGGTACAAGTGAGCTCCTGTCCAAAATGAATGCCCTCTTCTCAAATTCTCAATAGCTAGGCTGCTCAGGAGCGGTAGGGAAAGTGACCTTCACCCCACCTTCAGTACTAAAGCCCAAATCCATCTGTTTCCGGCAGGCAGAAGAAATATCTTTTTTCTCCTGTCCCATAATATCCTCAGCTAAAATCATCCATGTGCTGTGGATTTGAGACTGGGGACTGTTGATGTCTCCAGCCCATGACTCAGACCCCGTCTCTCTTCCAGTGAGTTCTTTCTGCCGCATCCGTTTAGCTCTGCACCCGCTGACCCCGGGGCTGGTGGAAGAGGGCGGGGAGAGCCTCCTGTTGGGAGAGTGGGCTTTAGGACCCAACGGGAACCCGTGCCTCTTGCAGCAGCCTAACCCAGAAGCAGGGGGGAATCCTGAATCGAGCTGAGAGGGTTTCCCCGGTTCTCCTGGGAACCCCGTCGCCCCCCGCCAGCACGCACCTGAGCAGGTAGGACCACGCACACCCCTTCCCAATCCTCCCTCTGCCGGCCTTCCGCCTGGCCTCTCCGCTTCCGATCTGGTCGTTTCCCTCTCGGCAGTTCAGGCTTTCCCCGTCCCTCCTCCCCCACAGCTCGCTGTAGTCCTGGGAGGTGGGAGCCTGGGAACGGTGGGGTGTCTGAAAGCTCAGAGCCCCTGCACCCTCCGGCGCCCTGGCTGCACTTCCCCAGAGGCATTCCCGTTCTCCAGCTAAGGATGGAAACTGGGGGAAGGTCTGCCCAGGCCCCAGCCCCTGCACCCTCCTTTGCAGTATTGCCCAATACCCCTTCCCCCACCTCACCTCGAGGGGAGAATCGGCAGCGCTGGGGTAACTGGGGGGCGGGGAGCGGAGCCGGAGAGGGATCCGACACTCCCTGGGGGCTTCCTCTCTGGCTTCCTCTCTGCACCCC